CTCTCCAAAGAACAGCTTCTCCTAACAACATACCCAAAGGATGTGAGGCGAAGCTTTATCAGTCATATTAGCTATGACTGTAGGAAGGTTCATTTCTACATCAAAACCTCAGTCTGCTCATTCTTAATAATTTTTCCTTAAAATGACAAAGTTGTCATGAGAATTAAGGATAGGAAGGCTATAAAGTTTGAAAATAAGTCTGAGTGGCAGGTACTAAAAATCGGTGGGAATGTGCAAAGTAAAAATAAGCCAATTTTAATCCACTCTTACTGCTACCAAACAACTGTAACATTTTAAAAATAGTCCAGTTTGTATTTCAGAACCAGACATAGGTTAAATGTCTGTCTCATAAATAAAACTTCCTGGGAGATCTCTGCATATGATTCTTACACACACAAATTGGTCATTCTTGAAGTAAAACTTTCTTTCTCTTGAAAGCTAATCCTCTTCCTACTTGTCATAGTTTTGGTGTGGGAATTTCCAAGCCCCCCAAAATTCCCACACTTCTGCCCTATTCGTTCACCACTCACCCTCACCCCTCAGTGATCCAAGATGAACATCCTTCTATACTAACACATCTTATGGAGCAACTGCCCCTAAGACTTCCCTAATCTACCTCTGACATTTCCACTGCAGGCCTCCCACTGTCCTTTGACCGTGGCTGTTTTGATATCAGCCTCTTGGCATCATCTTCTTTCTTAAAACTTCTTTTAAGTACTATATATGGTTTATACCTGTAATCCTAGGATGGACAGCACACTGTTTGCTGAATAAATTAATATAGCTTTAGCCAGCCACATCTGCACTGCATAGCACAGCAGAGCCTGATTTTCCTGTTAATTCTCAGCTTTCAAATAAGAAATATGGTGGAGCACAGCTGCAGCTGGGCTTGAACGATCCTTTGGGGGATATTCTCTTGTTGTTGGGCTCAAGCATTAGCAATAATTTTTTGCTGCTGCAATGTTTGCTCTGGCAAATCCAGGGAATCTAAATGGTGCTAATCACAAAAATAGCCTTAATTACGCAGTTTCTGTTGGAATTTGTTACTGGATTTGAATTTGGTTACATGTATTTTCAGACTCAATTTTCTATGAGAGAATAGAAGAGTTGATTTTCTCTTGAGGAGAAAGACCTCTAACTAACACTTTAAAATGTTTAAAATCCCTCAGTCTGTGCCAACTATCCAGATGGCTTTCAGCAGAAGTATCGCCTTCTCCACAAAGTGATCTCTCTTGCCATTTTTCTAGTAGCTTATTATTTATTAGTCTTGATATGCTTTTGTTGTTGTTATTGATTGCTGTTGAGTCAAGCACGACTCATAGCGACCTCATGAACAAAAGACCTGAAGCCTTTCTATAACTATTGTCATTTATCAAAGTTCATAGAGTTTCCAGAGGCATGTTGTTTAGGAAGTGGATACTCATTGCCATCGAATTGCAAGTGTTCATTAAAGAGCCTTTCACTGCCATACAGTTGGAACCAACTCACAGCTGACCTTCCAGTCGGTTTTCTGAGACTGGCAATCTCATGGGAGGACACTGTCTATCTTTCTCCCTTTGAAAAGCTTGCATATTTGAACCACCAGAGAGGCACAGCCGTTGAGTTAGCAGTGCTATCTATGCCCTATGGACTATGCCACCAGAGCTCCTTGATTATACTAAATGATAGCCTGGTTGAATAACTATTTACTTTTATCAGCTTGTTTTTCCAGTACATTCACATATAGCAATGTCAACGAAAAGGCTTTGGAGTTATAGAGATCAGGGCCCCAAAATAGAAAAACCTTGACTTCACAATTAAATTTAATATGTACCATGTTGTCATGACCTAGTTACACTTTAAATTTAGCTTTTAATTTTATTGAGTTAGTCATAAAATTCATCCACTAAATGATATAGGAATAAATGTTAAATAGCTGGTCAAAGTCTTCAAAATAAAGACATGGCTTTAATGTTAGTTAAAATGAACAGGTTAAAAATAAATAGATCATTTTAGGCCTATAAAACACAGATGTCAGTAAGGCATCTTAAGATTGTTCTTTTACTAGCCTTGCCACATTTCTTCTAATATCACTGAATTTAGGAGTGCATGGGTATGTGTGTGTGTGTGTGCACTCACAAGCATATTAATTACACACACACACACACACACACACACAATCCTCGTAGAAAAACTTATGTGCCATCGAGTCGCTTGCGACTCATAGTGACCTGATGTACAATATCCCTAAACCCTGCTCTATCACTTGCCAATCTTATTGTCTCCAACACGCCTATCCCCATTACCCCAGTTATTGAATCAATCCATTTCAGAGGGCCTTCCCCTCTTGTGCCATCCCTCTACCCTCCCAAGCATGATGTCCCTCTTCAAGGACTGGTCCCTTCTTGCAACATGTCCAAAGTATGTCAGACGGAGCTTCAGAATCATTGCCTCCAAAGAGCAGCCTGACTTCATCCTCTCTAGGAAACTTGTCTGTTCTCTTAGCAGTCCATGGTGTATTTAATACTCTTCTCCAGCACCAAAGCTCAAAGGCATCAATTCTCCTTCTATCATCCCTATTTATTGTCCAGCTCTCTGATGCATAGCAAGTAATTGTAACACCTTAGTCTCCAGGCTGACATCGGTGCTCCTCAGAACCTTGGAGAGGTCTCTGACGGCATACTTTCCCAGTGCAATTCATCTTTTAATTTCCTGGCTGCTGGTACCAAGAGTGTTGATTGTAGAGCCAAGTAAACTGAAGCTGTTAACAATCCCAATCTCTTCATTATCCATCATGATGTTGCCAACTGGACCAGTGGTGAGAATCTTTTTGGGAATTAAAGTCCTTTAAAGTTTTATGAAATCTCACTGTACCAACAAATAAAAGCTATCTGAAGCCAGCCATTCCCCTACTTTTCCGCTACCTTCCCTTGACAGTTGTAAATACATTTATTTATTCTGGTTGAACATTTTGAAGCTGCCTTCTAAAGAGTCCTAGCTTTCCAGATATCAAAGAGTCATCATACAGGGTCAAGGTGGAGTCCATGACCTTTTAACCATTTCAGTCAGAGCATTTCTGAATTTATTGGGGGGGGAAATATAGCAAGTTTGGAAAAGAACTGCTGCTCATGAAATATCCAGAATTATATCCAGAGTAATATGAAGAACTTTGAGAGAAGTCAGAGGATTTTACATATGTTATATAATTTTATAATATATAATTATATCATATATATATATATATATAAAATGAGAAGTCACATTCACACACATATGTATGTATGTATGTATGTATGTATGTATGTATATGAGTATATATGTATATAAGTGTATACATGTATATACATAAATATACAGAGACAGAGAGAGAGAGAACAAGCCAGACTTAGGAAGAAGTTAAATTTATCTTACTTGAGGAAAAAAAAGTTTAAATGGCAATATAGTAAGGGTCTTCAGAGCTTTAGGGATTATTTTACAATGAAGATAATAATGACATTTAATGTTTGTGTGAACATAGAAAGAAAAACCAAATAGGGTTTTCACTTTAGCAGAAAGAATACCATACAGAAGCAAAGTAAAAAATAGCAGTCAAATCCTAAGCTTGTTTAATCAAAATAATAAATCATTCTCTACACTAGGTGATCTTTAAAAGTTCAGATCATAATGAAAGTTTTCCCAAAGGCAACATAAATTATTGTCTTTTTATACATAGGTATAGTTCTACTATCTGAAGAAACAAAGGATAAATTTCATGAACTCCACCTTTTCAACACAATGAGTCAATGATTTATCTTTAAGTTACATCATAATATATAGACTTAATGCTCTTGTTTCGAATGGTTGACTTATAGCCTGATCCTGCCAGAATGAGTAGTACTTTCTACTAATGTCAAGGAAGTTAGTGTTGAAGAGAAACATTTGTTCCAATGGTCATGAAGCGAAACACTTCCAAGGCCCACAGGTGTTGTAAGGAAAGAAACCTAACTGTTGAAAAATACTGAATTAGTTAAGGGAGTTGTGGTGAGTTAGATAGTACATGACCCATGTGGAAGCGACAGCCACTGCTGACTCTGACCGGTTGTTGTCATGTAGTATTGTACCTGTATTTTTTAATCTTTGGCTTCTGAAAAAAAAAAAAAGCTTGAAATGTAAAATTTATGTGAAGTAGTGTTTTCTTAAACTTTGGGAAATACTTAAATGTACAAAAGTACTGTGAAAGTGGTTTGGAGCTCTGGTAGCCTAGTGGTAAGAAGCTGCACTGTAATCCCAAAGTCACAAGCTTTGAATGCCTCAGCTGCTCTGTGGGAGAAGGATGGGCAGTCTTATCCCTTGTGATTTACTGCCTCTGAAAACCTGCTGGAGGGTCAGCTATGGGTCACTTCCAACATCAGAACATACAGCAACAAAAACAAGAACTGGATGAGCAAAATAATATACATAGGTGGTCGGTGGTTCATTCCCTAGGATACTGGTTCATTCCCTAGGATACTGGTTAATTATTGCAATAGAGAAAAAGAAAACAATTATTTAAACTCTGAAGCTTAGAAAAAGTAATTTACTTCATTTTTTAAAGGTTTGAGGTCCCTTTTAACTCTGAATCTTTGAACTCTTTCCCCCTCTTCTCTACAACCAATATTGGTTGGCTTATTCACAGAGAAAGTGAGAATTTAAAGAAATTACTGATTTCCCTAAGCAACCTACTTTTATTTGGAAAACAAAATCATATTTAAGCAACATAGAACATATGATCCAATAAAAAGGCAATTCATGTTTCTGTGCTAAAGATGCCACATGTACCACTTTTCCATGATGCTCTTATGTCTGACCTAGACACACCACCTTGGACCTTTGCACTAACTTTTGTTTATAACACTGACTGCATGAGGCATGATTGATTAAACACTTACTTACTCTATTACTATTTTATGGCATCTCTTACTTTTATAAAGTATTTTCAAATGACCTACCTCTACTTGGAGTAAGAACAGACAGCTGGATTTCTGAAATCCCCTTCCTTTCAGACAGGGGAATATGCCACAGATGAAGAGGAGGAGGAGGTCGGGCCTGTTCTTCCTGGCACTGACATGGCCATTGAAGTGTTTGAGCTGCCTGAGAATGAAGACATGTTTTCCCCCTCAGACCTGGACACAACCAAGCTCAGTCACAAGTTCAAAGAGGTAAGTTGTTGTTCTGCAAAATATTTCACTGTCCTGTCCACTTGAAGAAAGATATGTTTTTGTTTGAGTAACAGTAACAATAATCCATTTTCAGTGGAAACTTTTTCATTCCAGATTGCCTTATTGAATCTCATTGAACTTTCAGGTGAAATTGAAATAATTATCATTTTGCTTTAATATAAACACTCTTTATTTACCACAGGTGACAGATTACCACTTACCTTGCCCATAATTTCGAGACATAATTTACGTGTACAGTTTTGTTGATAAATCTAAGTAATTTTTCTTTATTTTACAGAAGTAACAGGTAGTAAACTTTTTTCCTAAAGCAGTGACTTTTTTTAAAAAAAAAAAAAGCTCTCCCTTTAAAAAGTATTTTTTTTTTTTTTTCATAAAAAGACAAGAGTCCCTATAAGAATCAGGTAGCATGCTCAAAGGGTTTAGTAGAAGGGAGTTTAATGAATTGCCCTTTAAGAGAGTTAAGAGCTAACAATATATAGTGAGTTGCATAGGAGCTGCCAATAGCAGGAAATTGTATTGGCATCTTTTGTCAGTGGGCAGAATGAGGAAGATAGTACCTTTACTTCAATGTTTGTACCTCTGTGAGAGCACAGTGACCGCTAAAACTCCATCTTTGGGGACTAAAGTAAAGTAACCCTGACCTGCTCGCATTCTGCTGCTGCCTCCAGAACCAGACATAGAAGCCAGATTATTGTGGTCTTGAAGTCTGAGGTTAACAAATAGAGCTAACCATGTAAACACGTTTTCCAAATTAACTACTCAGAGCCCTGGCATGTAAAACACAAACAGTGACTAATGGGTGCCCATGGGCAGCTTTTCCTTCATCCTTTTGGAGAATATCCTCTGTTGTGGGAAGACAAATGCATCATTATTTACAACTTTCCTATTAATTACAACTTCCCATAAACCACAATTTTGTGGTTTCAAGCTTGTTAAGGATTTGACCATTTTGAGAAAGATTCTCCTAAATTTTAAAACTACAGATATTTAATCTCTAATTGTATTTGAAATTTCTAATTTTCTTACATTTCTAGTTTCTGATGTTGATGTTTCATAAATCAGTAGACAGTGCTATTAATATAATCATTACAAAACTTGGTGTTACTTCATAGTACAGATAGAGCAGAGATTTTAGAGTAATTTCTTAGAAAGGCCTCATCACAGAGAGTAAATTGAGCAAAGCAAAATTCTTCAAGAGGTGACTTAGTTGAGAGATAAAAAAGGAAATTTAGGTGTCCGTTTCTCTGTGGCTCTGATTTGGTCCAGGAATACAGATGATCTAGAAAAGAGTAGATGAACAACTTGTTCTTTAAGGCATCTTCCTTGAATGCCGTAGTTCAAATTCCACTATTTTACAAATATTGGAAGTTGTGAGATCAAAGTAGTTTACAGAAAAAACTATAATAAAACTCCTTAATGTTTACATTATTTTGAGCAAACCTACATCTAGTACTATTTTGAGCAAAGCATATTAGATCAACATTACTTCAGTCAATCCTACGTATCATATATTTTCCTACAAGACTCTGAGCTTCTTTATATTTGCTCAGTGTACTTAGTTCTTGTGCTGTGCCAGTCATACTGTTAGTGGTTAACTATTTGTTCAATAGATGGTGTCAAACATGAACAGAAAATTGGATAATGAAACAATAAATCAAACAAACCTTCATAAGAAACCTTATAAGCCAGAATAGAACAGCCCCATGGGTTTCCCAGGCTGTGAAGCAGCCTCATAGAGTTTCCAAAGCTGTGAATCTCTACAAAAGCAGACTATTGCATCTTTCTCCAAGAAGAACTGGTGGATTTGAACAGATGACTTCTTAGTTAGCTGCTGAGAATTTAAACCACTGGGAGACGAGGGCTCCTTTTAATGTAAATACCTAATTTACATTTTCCAAAGAATTTTCAGTAAATATTGATCTACCCATTTCTATCTGGATAGAAAAACAAACATTATTAGTTACAGAATTTGTACCATGGTGCTTTGTACTGCTTCTGGCTTTAGTATTCAGTTTTATCTTATCCTCTCTCTTAAGTACATACATATAAAATGTAATTAACATTGGTTGAATAAAGTCACATTTATTCACCTCCTAAAAAAAAAAAGAAGTCCATTTATTTTGCAGCTATTTATTCAGGAAAATGTTTGAATCAATAAGTCCCTTGAAAATTCTTTTTTTCTATTTTGGATTTTAATAAATTGAAATAATTGTCTGAAAACTGGAATTTTTATCATGTCGGCTCTTAAATACAAGTTTATGGAGTGTGTAGGTGTAATTGAAGTCTTCTTATGACACTCTATAAAATTTTATAATACCCCCTGTTAGTTCAAGAACAGAAAATCTGACTAGAATGAATTAATCACGTACTGATTCCTGGTTAGTGTTAACTGCAATATAAAATGAGACATTTTGCTCTACTTTTCTGCTTTCAAAAATTACTTTTATAAGAAAAATCTAATGACCTATTTAAGATACCAATGTTGTAAACTTTCAGAGTTCACTGTTACTGTCCTATAACAGGGCCTGGACTGGTACCTTTGTGGGTCAGAGTCATTGTTAGATGCTGTCGAGTAGACTAGAGAGTCTTTATGAACAACAGGTCTGAACTTTGTCCTGTAGAGCACCCATACGTAGGATCTCTGTCATGCGCAGAGCCCTGCCATGCTCAGAGCCCATTGTGATAGTCACTGTGTCAGTCCATCTTGTTTTCCCATCTTTCTCTGACCCTTCTCCTTTCCAGTATGGTGGCTCTCTAAGGATCGATTCCTCCTTAGAATAAGTCCAAAGCAAGTTAAAGGAAATTTTACCATACTTGCCTTTAAGAAGCATTCTGGTAGCACTTTTCTATATAGGTTTTTTTTGGGTGTTGTTCTATTGACAGTCCATGAGATGTTCAGCTTTCTTCACTAACATCACAATTCAAAGGCATCAGTTCTTTTCAACCTTCTTTATTCATTGTCTGACTTTCAGATGCCTACAAAGCAATTGAAAAAGACTGTTGTTTGTACTGTAGTCTTTAAACTGACATCCTTGCTCTAGTAGTGCTTTAGAGAGGTCCTTGATGGTAGATTTCTCCAATTCAGTGTCTTTTCATTTTTTTAATAAAAATAAAATAAATTTTATTTTATGCTGTTTACTTACAAAGTTTGTATACATTGTTTTTCTCGCCGGATCTTTTCCATTTCCTTTACGCACTCCCTTCACCCATCAAAATCATGCAACCTTATGGTTAACCACCCCCCACCCCCCACCTGCCCATCCTCACCCCTCTGCTGCCTGCCCTTGGGTCATCATACATGTTCTGTAATAATAGTTTCATACATTATTTGTCCTTATGGGACTGAGTTAGTTAACTTAGCATAATGCTCTCTAATCCCTCCCAAGTTAGGCAGTGATTTACAAAATCATTGCTTATGCATGTTGCATAGTATTCTATCATATGAATGTCCCACAATTTCTCAATCCATTTGATTGTGGTTGGACATTTGGGGTGTTTCCATGCTATTGCGATGGTGAATAACATTGCTCTGAACATTGGTGTACAAGTCTCCATTTGTGCCTTGATTCTCAATCTCTCAAGGTAGATACCAAGCAGTGGAATAGCTGAGTCATATGAGATTTCTATGTTTAGTTTTTGAGGAAACACCAGACTGCCTTCCAGAGTGGTTGTACCCTTTTAAAATCCCACCAACAGTGTTTAAGAGTTTCTATCTTTGCACATTCTCTTCAACATTTACTACCTGCTGTCCAGTTGTTAAACTTTGCCGCTGCGACTGGAGTGAGATGATATCTCATTGTCTTTTGATTTTTTTGACTGCTGCTACAGTAGAGGTTGATTATGAATCCAAGTAAAATGAAATCCTTGATAACTTTAGTCTTTTTCCCATTTATCATCTTTTTGCCTGTCATCCAGTGGTAAGGATTTTTTTCTTTCTTACGGTGAGATGTAATCCATGTGAAAACCTGTAGTCTTTGATTTTTTGCAGTGAGTGTTTCAAGTCTTCTTCATTTCTTGCAAGCAAAGTTATGTTATCTGCGTAATGCAGGTTGTTGAGTTGTTCTCCTAACTTGATGCCAGTCTTCTTCATAAGAGCTCAGCTTCTCTAATAAGTTGCTCAGCACATAGATTCCCCCCACCCCAGCTAACTGTCTTTATCATTTAACCACAGGATTTTGTTATCTATCCTCTTACCCTCCCCAATTTTTTTCTTTTATTTCTCAAGCTTTAGATTAAGCTGTATCTTTTATTAAATAATGTGTTCTAGCACAACTGTACTCCTTTCCCCCTTATCCTGGTGGAATGTAACTGTTGCTCTGACATAATTCAAGGAGCTCTGGTGGTGTCGTGGTGAGTTGTGCCACCAGCACACTGGCACACAGTTCACCTCCACCGACTACTTTGTGAGAAACAGATTGGCTCCCATGTGATCTAATGACTGAAAAGGCACTGGAGGGTCAGCAGTGAGTCAGTTCTGACTCAACAGTGTGCAAGAACTGCCATAAATTCATGAATGACTCTGGGTCCACTGTTCTCCTATCACATGGCACCACACATTCCTACTTTCTGGCCTCAGATTTTAAGTTCATCATCAGGAGGTCTGAGTGTCAAGGTATAGAATGGGCTTCCTCTGATGTACTCCCAGATACTGGCTTGGACACGTTTGCCCAGGATACAAGGGAAGATGATATCCTTATTGCATTGCTGTTCCCATTTCCAATTGCTTGGAAACAACTGTGTTATGCATCTAAGAATTTCTCACAGACTCTTTTGTTAATTGATCAACAAGACCTGGAAGCCCATAAGTGTTACTTTTTTCTCTTTTGACATTTCCAAAATTTTTTCTTTCGGCATCTCTAAAACTTATTCTTTTATTACTTAAACCACAACATAGTTTACCATGTTGTAATAAACTGGAAGTTTTCCCTTGCCAATGTAGTTTTTCCATGCTCTTTTCTTAGTAATGTTCTTTTTGTTCT